TTCTCAGGATTAAAATATCAGCCAGTTAGGACGGCCCAGCACGCGAGTCATAACACGGGCCGTCCTGAGGACAAGAGAACAAAGGACGCCTGCAGCATAGGCATAGAGAGCGACCTTCAAGTGCGGACACCCCGCGAGGACGCAAAGGAGTTACGCGCACGCGAGACCGCCGCCGGACGGGTTTCTGTCATGCTGAGATCACGCCTTGTCAGGGGCAGAGCGCACGCGCTCGCGCCAAGTGTCAAACTTAAGTCAACGACGAGATTCTACTGCTGGAGACACGGGACTCTGTTTGCCGAGACCGACGATAGAACACAAGCTGCCAGACACGCAAAAGACAGAGCTTATGTACATGCAGAAATAGTGACAGTAAACTATTATCTGCTATCCTGTTCTGCCTTCTCTTCCTAACACGCAACTGGGGGGTTATAACCAGTGTTGACACAGGAACATACAAGGTTATAACACAGCCCTTTACCCGAAATAACTCGTGGCTAATGGATCGCTGTTCAGACTTCAACCCCAGCGTGGAGAAGGCCGAAGAAATCAAACAGTGCATCCTGCGGTGTAAGAGACAGGAGGCTGGGCAAAGCATCCGATTTCAAACGCTGTCTAGCAAATCTTCGCTTAATGGCTTACTGCTAGCCATAATACACCAAATAGAAAATATCATCGGTCGAGACGCAGACTTATAGTGAAGTCCGGACGGAAGAAAGAGAAACGACGAGAAACCGACAGGGCTACACCCAATGGCGCATTAGGTAGTCTGGCGGCGAAAAGACGAAACTAACACCAGAAAGTGGCCTTGCAGTGCTGCTTTACGGAGCCTCAAGTGTCAATTAGCAAAGAGAGCAGACTGCGGGAAGCGGGAGTAGGGGGAAGAGGAACGTACCATTAAGGAGGGGCTTATTGCACGCGAGGACGCGAGAGTTGAAAATTATGGCGGGTTTCGGCTTTTGAGTTTGGGTCTGTTGTTGCGCCGCCGGTGCCTCGGGTAACACACGAGAGGGGACAGAGGGGAGGGGACCGCCTTTGGGTTGGTGGTTCGTAGTCACTTCCGAATCGGATAACTTCCCTGCTACAGTGGGCTGGGGTGATTTTAGTTTCGGGTGGTCGGAGGTAGGGGGAGTCGAATTGGTGGCAACAACCGCCGAAACAGATGCGCCAGAGGTTAGCGTATCTAGGGAG